GGTGTGAGGGTGTGTGTGTGGCCCAAAATCACCCAGTTAAGTTTTTCAGCTTGATGTGGGATTTAAACCTGGCTCTATTTCTTATTGTACTAAATCAGATTGAGAGATTCCCTCAAGTGGGTTTGAACCCTGGCGTCCTCAATCCAGGCTCAGGCCTGATATTCTATTGTGTGCACCACGGTGGCTCTAAAACATTATTAATGACTTGGGTAGATGCTCAACAACCACAATTCAGTTTTGGAACTGTTGCTGTAAGATGGGAAAACTTTCAAGTTGAAACGTCATGATATATGGAGAATTCAGGTCATGTAATTTGTGAGGATGGGTGAACATTTAATATGGTCTCCATTTTCTTAGTTTCTGGTTTCTGCGACCAAAAGTTCCAAAACCTCACTTTGGTTAAAGGAGAGCAACAGTTTTGATGATTTTCTCAGAGCGGGACAGTTGCTGGCAAGGATGCCAACTTGGCTTTGCCCTGTCAGATCATTTTCAGAGTCTGTTTGTATCCCAGTACGTATTTACCACTTTTCATAACCAGCAGAAGCCTAGAGTTGATGGACTCAAGGGGCTTTTTCATCTTCTTGGCGGCCACCATCCTTGTGGCTCATGTTGGGCCGGCTGTTATCAGATAGGTGTTGATCTGGATGCATTGGAAGATTCCCTATGGCTATACTAACAGCCCATTTGCAGAGGCACTTCTTTTTCTCTGCTGTGTGGGGAAGCGAATTCCCAATTGGCGGCCACTGGCCACATGTAGAAGCTGCGGTGTCACACAGCAACAAAAATCAGGTTCGCAACTTGCTTGCCAAAAGCAGTGGTGTGCTCCTGCAGGGCTGAAAACGATAGTGGTAGCACCACAAACTTGGTAGTGTCTTTACAGCCCTTTACAGCTCTTCAGGGCCTGTGTGTGTGTGTGTGTCACTCATTCTCTTGTACCTTTGTGGTTTCCAAAAGCCAGATCAGAAAGAAAACAAGGCCAGGGAAATGGGTGATCTACATGCATGTTATGTTAAACTTAACTCCCATGGAGGCCAAGAGAGTGTTACCCTCTGGAATCTGACCACTGCGTATAGCTTCAGGCAGCTGCTGCAAACAAAGCTTGCATTTCAATTAATCAAGTAGTGCAATTTGTCACTGAGCACCCCTACCAGCCCAGATACCATATTTCAATTACAGACAGCGACAAGAGCCCAAAAGGATGCTAGGAGGGTGACAATCAAATAAGAAAGCAGGGTTCTCCATTAGGAGAGGGATTCTTTATTAGGACGTTTCACTTCAGGCAGCCCTGATCATTAGGTGTCCAAAATCTACATATCTCCCCTGTGAAAATATTATCAGCAGCTGTCATCTTGATACTAAACAAAACAAAACTTGGTTGCATTTTTGCTCTGCAAGGACCCAGGAAAAGCAGTGCAAAACAGTATATGATCAGATCCTTTGTAATGGAAATACAACAGACTACTCCCCTGCCCACCCTAATACATAAAAAACAAACTCAAATAACCCCTTGTGGGCCTCTTCTCTTTCCTTAAGGCATACAAACACAAAACATCTCATTTGCAGCAACTCCCAAGAATTCGCACAGTGGAGTCAATATTGTTAATGCACCCGTGTTAATTTGATAGGATTTGTCAGGTAACTCCACTGGAAAATTATATAAAACTGTTCCAGATGAACAGATGATAGTGACACGAATTAAAGTGATAGAACAATAGTGGAATATAAATCAGAAATGACACCCAAAGTGGCTGTTGATTTATTGCCATCCTGAGTCTGGTTCTGGGCTTCCATGTATATTAGCACTACAAATCTGGGTCCATTTAGCCAAGAGATGCTCATACATACATCACTGGCTCCTGCTCCAAGCCAAGGTCACTTCTCGTTGCATCAATCTTTTCCTACGGAGGCTACTTCACAAAAAAGGCAGGGGCTGTGGAGCCATCTCGGATGTAACAGACTCCTCTCCCACCCCATTTCATCTTTCTTTTATCATGTAAAATACACTTTAAACTTCCTATTATTTTTATCTGCAAATTGTTGCTGTATACTCCCATCTATTATAGCTGTATCGCATCATCGGTTGCACCTGCTCGCACACGCACGGATCTGCAGGACTGGATCCTTTGTCAAGTCAGCCCTTTCTTCCCCTCCCCCTTTATTTTTGGCAATTCCTACGCTGGTGCATGCTATGTTGCTGGAACTATGGAGCTTACCAAATTGTGCAACTATACGATTTTGGTTCCCAAGTTCCCATTTCTGTCACAGTTTCAACCCATTTGGGAAGAAACTGCAGACGTCCATGTCTGTCCCCCCCCCCCCACTGCACTAATGAATTTTGATGGGAAAACTACCATTAAAATTGGCACCTGTTCTTGTGCCAATGGCATAGAAGTAGCATATGGCATTAAAATGACGTCAGAGAAACTAAAAAACTGGAAGCATCAGCATATACATACACTGAAAGAAAAAGGCTCATAACAACGTATTAAGAAGACAAAATAATAAAAAATAAAAAGGGTATCTTCATACATCCTGAGCTGGAAGCAATGTGTTTTATCAGTTTGTAGCAGTTTTACAACCAGATCCTGACAATCTTAACTTAGGGCCAACACAGCAATTCCGTGCAGTTACTCCGGTCTAAGTCCACCGATCTCAGTGAGGTTGAGAATACACTGTCCCTACATAGGATTGCACTGTAAATCATGTTTATTTAGAGGAGTTTACTTCCAGGGAAGTAAGTATACTTAGGATTGCAGCTGTAGGATCTCTGGCCTGTTTTCCCTCGCTTCCCCCACGCCTGGCACTTCTTCCTAAAACACCTAAGAGATGCCCTCTCTCTTTCTCCGGACCTCTCCTCTCATTACCTTAATGCTTTAATCCTCATCCCCAATTAAAACTAAGCCTTGACACAACTTCCTGCATTGGCTTCCTTTTGTTCTTCATTGCCCTGACCTCGACCATCCCCCCCCCCCCCCCAATTTAAAATGAGATGGTGCATTCCTCATGGCAAGAATTTACTCTTTCTGTAAATTATTAGCACAGCACTATATACCCTGAAGGCTATAAACTCTCGATACTACTCAGAGCTTTGTGGCTTTGCACCCCAGTTCATGGTTACGCACACTGCGATGCTCACACAAAGCTTCCGCTTGCACCCCCCTCTCTTCAGAGGACAGGTCATGGAATGCTCCCCCCTCTTCAAACCCCCTGGCACATATAAAACTGCTTTCAAATCACTGTGCCGTCTTCCCAGTCTGGCCATGTTCTTCTCCACTTGGTGAAGGGGTCAGAGAAGACATGTTCCAGCCAAAGGCCCTTCCCTCCTCTCAATGCACATAAAGGGTTGTGTGTGCGCATGTGTGGGTTTAGGTAGGAGGATGTCTACACAGCCCTGCAACGGAGTTTATTTTATAACTTAACTTAAAGATTACAAACTTAACTTACATGAGTTTATTGGCGGGGGGGGGGGGGGGGGGGGACAGAAAATGTGATGGCACCAGAAACGGGCAAGGCCTGTCCCTTCCCTCTGAAACAAGACAAAGCCATTTGTTTCCTCGCTAACAGGCTCTCTCTGTGTTAACCATTTATCTTTAGTGATCTGTCACGACCTTTTCAAGCTCCTACTTCTGACAGCTTCCAGATACAAGTGAGTCAAACTTCCCTGGAAGGAAACTATCACCCCCAGATAGTTTGCTCAGGAGCAGAAAACATGCTGCCCTCCATCAGCACCAGCGTATAAATCCTTTCCTTAACAAGACAGTACGATACCAAAAAATATATATACAGAAAAGAAGAGCCTCCAAGTGGATGTAACTTTCCGAGAAATAAATATCTAGTTTAGGCTTTATACACACAAAGAGAGAGGCAGGATTTAAAGACTGGAAAGGGAGGATGGTTTAAGGTCTTCAAGGCCTCAAGTGGGGTGGAAGGAGCTCCGTGAGCTTTAAAAATTAAAATGAACAAAGTAACCCAAATTCTGTAGCCTGTCTCAATTATGTGAATTATTCAGACCGGGCTTCCAGTCAGATCTGTTGCAATGCCTGGAAGCCCGGAGCCTCCTGGCTCCAGCCTCCCACTTGCCACTGACACTCACCCTGTCAAGGAAGCCCCACCTTGGTACTGTGCTCTGCTGAGAGGCCAGCCAGGCAACCAGCCCCTGGCCAACACCAACCACAGAGAAGCCGGGGCAGTGCCAGGGCTGACAAGGCTGGCTACAGCAATCAGCTAGCCAATGGAGCCACACCTTGCCAGTCGTCACGTGGTTCTCCTGGGCGCCCCAGAGGCAGCAGCCCTTTGAATCTTGAGGGGGCATCAGACAACCCTGGCCCCATGCCCGGGGGAGGGGGGGAAGACGATTGGGTTCTAGCGGCCGGATGAGAAGGGGAACGGAGGGGCTGGTGGAGACAACAGAGACTGGCTTGGGCTATTTAAGCGACTGTGACCTGTGGCCAGGCAGGAATTGGATGGAACGGCTCCTCTCTCTGCTGGACCACACCAGAGAGTCCAGGGAGGGCAGGGAGCTTCCCAACAGGAGGGAGAGGACCTGGGTGGCTTGAGCCCCCCCCATATCTGAGGCATAAAAACGGCAGAAGGGCCAACGTTCTCCACCTCTCCCAGCACAGGACACACGTCAGCTGACACTGTGACAACTTTGGGGTTTCATTTCGGGGTGCACCACCAGAAACACCCCCCCCCATGCAATAAACAAACAGAGCCGTCTTTGTTGTTGACAGTTCTCTCAACATGAAAATTTGTCACATATATCAGAACTCTCAGAAATCCAACCTGGCCCTTCTGCAAGTGCCCCCCCCCAGTACAAGTGGGAAGGGGGGGGGAGTTTCATTCTCACAGGGATGCTTTCTAGGTCTGGTCATAGGGATTACATTCAAGCAGGTACACTACTGT